CCGCGGCGGCCGCGGCGGCGGCGATGTCGGGGCTGAACCTCACGCCGGGCGGCAGCAGCGGCGGCGGCGGTGGCGCGCGCACGGCAAATTCGTACACACAGCTGCATGTCAGACAGCCAGAGGCCGCACCCGCGGACTCTGCGCCTGCGCCGGCGCCCGCGGCGCTCGGCCCTGCGGAGCACCGAGCTCAACACGAGGCGGCGCTGCTTAGGCTGGCCCCCGCAGCGGCGGAGGCGCTGGCCGGCTGCGCGAGCGCGCTGGTCGCGCTCGGAGACGCGAGCGGGGTGCGGGGCCTGCGGGAGTGGGGTGTGGAGGCGCTCGCGCCGCTCTGGAAGCTTGAGGCGCAGCTGTCGGAGTTTGATTTTGAACCAACAGAAGGCGACAACAGCGGCGGCGGCAGCGGCAGCGGCGCCCTGGCATGGCTGTTGGGCCTCGAGGCTCAGGCGGAGGGTCGCCTGGAAGACACCGCGCAGCTGCTCGCAGCGTGCGTAGCAAACAGCAGCGGCGGCGGCAGCGGCGGCGGTGCGGGCAGCTCGGCGGCGCTCGGGTCGCCGTATGTGCAGGGGGTCTTGATGGAGCATCTGGCGGATTGCTATGCGGCGCTATCCGATTGGCAAGGCCTGCGGCGGTTGGACGACGAGGCGCGCTCACAGTCGGCCGCTCTGGAGGCCGCCGCGCGCGTCGCGGCGCCGGCGGCCGGACCGCGCGAGCCGGGCGCGCCGCCCGCGCGGCACGCCGCGATGGTTGCGGCGCGGTCTGCGGCGGCGCTGGCCTCGGTGCGGCGCGCGAGGGCGGCCATCCTCGGATCCTGGGCGACCGCCGGGGCGGAAGCGCCCGTGGGCGCCCGTGCACTCTCAGGGGACGTTGGCGGCGGCGGCGGCGGCCGTGGCGCCGACAGCCTCATTGGCGCCTGCATGGCGTGCGTTCAGCAGAGCCAGGGGCAGCAGCGGCAGATTGAACAGGCCGCGCACCTCATGCACGCCTGCGAACGCGAGGCGCCAACGCTGGCGGAGCGGTGCGCCGCCGCCGCGTGGCTGGGCGCGGCGGCCGCGCGGCCGGCGCTGCAGCAGCTGGCCGCACTGCAGCTGCTGGCGCCCATGCTGAGCGGGCCGGGGGCAGCACAAGCGGCTGCGACCGCGGAGGCCGCCGCGGCCGCGGCCCGCGCGTTGCTGCGAGCGCCGGGCGCGGGGCTGTTTGAGGCGGCCGGTCGCGACGGCTCGATCGCCGGCGTTTCTTGGGGGGCAATTATTGGGGACGACGGGGAGCTATGTGATGTGAACGGCGGCACCAGCGGATGCAGCGCCGTGCCGCTAGCAGACCTCACGCGACTCCTGCGCATCGTGGACGCCGGCGCCGCGCACCCGCGGCAGGCCGCCGCGTGGGCGGCCCCGCGCGCGCTGCTGCAGCTGCAGGTCGCCGTCGCCGCGCGCCGCGGCGGCGCGGCCACCCTTTTGGAGCGCACCCTCGCCGCCGCAGAGCACCACCTGCAGCTGTGCGCGCAGACCGCCGCGCCGGACGCCGCCCGGGAGCTGCTTTGGCTGCGAGCGGTGGGCGCGAGGCTGCGTCCGGAGTGCAGCGGCGGCGCGTGGCGCGCAGCGGACGGCGACCAGCAGCAGCAGCTGCTGCTGCAGCGTGACGCTTCGCAGGATGCGGTGTCGCGCCACCTGGCCCTGCTGGACGGCCGCTGGCCTCATCAGATCAACTCGCGCCCAGAAGGGCGCGGGCTTGGCGAAGCTGGCGGCGCCTGCGGCGGAGAGAGCGCCGCCGCGCTCATGTCGCTCGCCGCGCTGCTGCGGCGGACGCCAGCGGCGGCGGCGGCGCCAGCGGGGGTCGACTGGGTTTTGGCGTACCGCCGCGCGATGCATCTGCTGGCCGGCCGCAGAGCTCTCGACCCCCCGGCTTCCGTTGTCGCCGCGGCCGTCGAAGGCGGCCTGTCGCAGTTCATGCCTGAGAGCCGCGCCGCTGCGCTCGCTGCATGCGCCGCGTCGGCGGCCGCGTGCGCGCCGCAGCAGCCGGGGCCGTGGCGGGCGCTGGGTGACCTGATGCACGACTTGGCAGAGGGAGAGCAGCAGGTGCAGCAGCAGCAACAGCAGCAGCAGCACCAGGAGCAGCAGCAGCAGCAGCGGCATGATGACATCCATCGGCTGGACAGGGAGCAGCAGGTCGCAGGTTTGCCCGAGGGCGGCGGTGCCTACCATGATGGTGCTCCCGGGGCCGGCGCCCACGCCGCCACAGGCGGCGCGCCGACGGCCACCGCTGCAGAGCGGTTGTTCGCGCTGGCCGCCGACGCGTACTGCCGACACCTGGCAACGGCCGTCGCGTCCACGCGCCTCGCCTCCCCAGAGGCCGGCCTGCCCGTGCTGCTGCGCCTCCTGCGGCTCGCCTTGACCTGCGGCCCCGCCCTCGCTGCGCCCCTGCGCGCGTCGCTCGGCCGCTGCCCGGCGGCGGCCTGGCAGGCGCTCGCCCCGCAGCTGCTGGCCGCGCTCGCGGCGCCCCAGGGGACGCCCGGCAGCGGCGGCGGCGAAGAGGCGCGCGGGCTCGCGGCGCTGCTGCTGCGCGGGGTGGCGGCTGCGGCGCCGTGCTCTGTGCTTTACCCCTGTGTAGCAGAGCTGCGGGCGGCGGAGGATTCTGGGGGCCAGGTGCGCTGGTGCCCCCGCCAGGGCGCGCACTGATTGTGTCCTGCGAGCCGCCTCAGAACGGGCACCCTCACTCGGCTTTGCCTCCAAAAACGTAAACAAGAGACCTGCGCCAAGGCGGATCCCATCTTGAAATGCAAGTTTGTTCATGCCAACCGCTTCCGCCTCATACAATGATGTGCACGCCCTCGCCGCGCGGCCAGGTGGGCGCGGAGTTGGAGGGCGTGCTGCGCGTGCTGCGGCGGCACGACGCGCGGCTGCTGCCCGACACGCGCGCGCTGGTTGAGGGGCTGGAGCGGCTGACTGTGACGAGCGCTGAGCGCTGGGCCGCGCTGCTGGGAGAGCTGGAGGTGGGGTGGGACTTGATGTGTGTGTGTGTGTGTGTGTGTGTGTGTGTGTGTGTGTGTGTGTGTGTGTGTGTGTGTGTGTTAGCTCAAGTGGTTGTGTGCTATGGAATGTGGTTGTGTGTGTGCGGGGTGCATTGAGTGCCGAAGTGTGTGTACGTATATGTGTGAGGGGGGTGCAACGTGTGCTGAGGTTTGTGTGTATGTGTGTGTTTGTGAGTGTCTTTGCTATGGGCTGCGCACAATAGTGGTAGGTTGTACACATCGGGCGTGCATAGAATATGTAGATTGCACTCGTGGCGAACGGGACGGGTCGGCTTCAACAAGCACAAGACATTATGCTGCACGGTTGAGTTGTGAGTTGTCGCGGCGGCCGCGTCGCGCATGCGGGCCGACCGCCCCATCGCCGGCAGCACGCGCCCTGCCGCCGCGCCCTCCTCGAGGGCCCCCTGCTGGTGCCAAAGCGTCCCGGCCGTTTCCTCACCGCCCCACCCCCTACCCTGCCGCGCCGCGCGATCCACGCCCCTGCCCTCGCCGCAGCTGGACGTATCCCGGAAGCTCCTCGCGCTGCGGGCAGACGCCGCGCGCATCGCTGCCAGTGGCCGCGTGCCGCCCGCCAGGCGCGGAGAGGTGCTGGCCAGCAGGTGCGGGAGTCGTGCGGCGCCTGCGTGGCACGCAATGCGTTTTTGTGCTTTAGTCTGAAGATCTCAGCGGGCTGCAGCGCAGAGGGTCTGCAATCAAGGAACCCCTTTCTCAAGTGCCTGGCTGTCTTCACAGTGACTTGCGGCGCTTCCGCTATTGCCCAGCCCGCTTATGTGCTGTGCGGTCGCCGCACCAGGAGTCGCGGCCTCTTATCCCACCCCACCCCTGCCATCCATGCACGCCTCACCACACCGCACCACGCCGCACCTCACCGCACCACACCACACTGCACCGCACCGCGTCACACCCTGCAAACCAACCCAGGTACGCCACCCTCATGGCCCCCGCCATCTCCACGCTCCAGCACCAGCTCGCCGCCTCCCAGCGCGCCCCCGTCGCGTCCCCGGAGGACACCCGCTTCCGCGCCACCTTCCTGCCGGCCGCCGCCGACGCGCTCGCGGCATTCACGGCGCCGCCGGCGCGGATGTTCGACGCCGCGGCCGCCGCGGCG